AATCAAAATAACTAGGCATTGTTGCTTAAATAATACAAACAGTCATTTGATGATGTACCTACACTGCCAGTGATAATAATGCTAACAACAATATACTTCCAGCCATGTAGCTGCACAATTAGATATGAATACTGTGGCAGCAGTGGTGCACAATAAGGCTGTGTGCATAAATGCTATTTTTGCACTACAGGTCCAAAGCTGGCTGTCAGCCTGTCTTCTAGGATATCTGTGCTCGGCTGGCTTTTGATTATGCAAATACTATGCACTATAAATAAATTAGTATAATTGCATCTGAAATATGTTTTGAATCTTCCTCGAAGATGAAAGGGTGTAAATAATATATTTCGTGTCACTGCATTATTCATCCTCTATTAATTACAAACATCAGGGCGCCCGGTTTCACCGTGCTATATGCTATTCTCTACATTTAAGTGGCCTGCATGTTGTTTTTCATACACAGAGCACCACATGTACATCCATGAACTGTCAGTATCGAGGCACTTGTTTCTAAATTATATTGCTAATTGTCTCTCACTGTATTCATTCTCAATTTCCCATTAGTAAACGCTATCGGTGTAATGCAGTTTCCAAACCTTAATTGGCTTTTATTGTTGAAATGGTAATTAATGTTTGAACAAGCTCTGACTCTGTAAAACCCAATGTACCTGTATTCATTGTCTGAACATCCATTTTTTTTCCCTTTTCATATTATGCATAAGCACTTCTGTATTATCATTTCCTAGAAGAGGAGGGGCTTCAGAAAACATTAAATAAGCATAAATACTGTAGTCGTGCCGCCACAACAATTAAAATATGCCCGTCTTTTCGGTCTTTGTAAAGCATATGGTATTGAGGCCTAGATGCAATTTGAATACAGGGATCCATTTGAAAAATATATGCTGTTCGGCAATTAAATTATATGGGCTCTCGGACTAAGGAGCCAGTACCAGTGCATATAGAATAGTGAGCAGTAGTTGCTACGCTCGCATTAGCATCTGGCCCTTTTATGTAAATTTGATGAGAAAGGACTCATGCATATACGCCAGGGCTGGGGTGTACTCGCCTAATATCCTTATTAGAGAGGGGTGAATTAAATATTTATTAGGGGGGCTAAGGGTTAGGAAGGGGGGCCTGTCCTGTGTTGTCGTGAGGACCCGAGGTGGAAGAAGGGGGAAAGGGAGGAGGAGGTTGGCTTTCTCTACGAGTGTCTCTCTCTGCCTCAAGGTGCCACCATCTTAAGGCGTTTGGCAGTAGTGAGAGTGTGAGGAGGGTAGACCTAAAATGTCCGCTGGCATAGACACGCGCACGCATACACATTAACGCATACAAATTTCTGTGCAGTATGTGCACAGGAACACAGAGCTCTGAAAGTCGATTACTCAATTACTGTCATCGGCAGCTATGCATGCTGAGCGTTTCATTTGCATTAATTCCCTCGATTACTGTCACCTACGAGATCGGCCTGTGTTTAGCTTTCTATTGCACGCCGTTTATTGGGTACGGGCACTAATACTAGCACCATGGGCGTCAGAACTAAACAGGTATTTGCTAATATTTTAAGAATTTCAATTTACCATTTCCTATCAGGCCAAGAATTGTAGGTTGCCTTTAAGTGAGTTCAGTTTGACAAAACATTGTGTTGGGACACACAAAGTATTTGTATTTAAAAATATTACAAGTTATATATATTTCTGTTTATTTGCAGTGTTGGACAGTTAATTAAATTATATAATTGCCATTATCTTCAACCAGAGCCTACTACCATCAAGTCCTTCACATCACAGAAATGAAAGTCAACATATTGTATATATGACAATCATCCCCTTACCTAAACCTTAAGGATAAAGGTGCAGCATTTTACATTTTGTGAGCAGTTACGGATAGAGACTTGCTCTTCTTGTAAGAGCATTTCTTCAAACTATAACACCAAAAATGACAATACAATTGCTTGAGAGCAGAGACAGGATGTCGGTGACAATATTGCCAATTTATGTAAATCAGCGCTATACTCTTCCCCCTATCATTTTCTGTCTCCTTCCCTCTTACTCACTATCACTGTCACATACACACACTGTAGCTGACCTCTCCTATCTGTTAATTATCATAAATGTGCTTAGTGAGGCAGCGCACACACACACACACACACACACACACGCATACAGCGCACAAACACACATTGTTCAGTGAGATACAGACACAGCATTAGCATTCCCTTTCATCCTGAAGTGCTCCTGAGGCATAGCATGAGGAAGAATGTGCAGGAAATTATTCAAGATGAATTATACCACACATCATCCCCATTTTTCCGGGCAACGACACACACACACACACACACACACACACGGTTCACCAGAAAGTATGTTATCAGAGGTATCTGACTATTATTACAATTAGAGTTTTGGTTTAAATTGATGTGTAAATTAGTCTCTGTAGATACACGTATATTGCTGCATGTGTATTCATCTGGAAGTGAGTGTTCATATACTGGAAGTATGAATGTGGATATTACGTCTACGTGTGCTGCGTGTCCTTGTCATAGTCAGCCTGTTGTCCCTTTTTACATGCATAAAGTATATATACAATATCAGCTGTTCCCCTGTTTCCTCTGATGAGTGGCACGCCCCGGCGTGCTGCCAAAGAAGTGAGAATAATTAAGCGGCTGCGTGTTTGAGCCTGGCGTTGGCTAATGGATTGTTACCGGGAGGAAATGAGACAGGCAGCATGGGGGAGCTGGGTGGCAAAGCAGACCTCGACTTTGGATAATGAAACACTGAAAGCCACCGGGGTGGAGAGTAGACACACCTCTCGTAAAGGAAATGCTTTTGTTCTATGACTACTTCTTTTTGTCATATAGGTAGGTGCAATTGGCGAGGAGTCACAGCGTGAGAAAGCCACAGTCGGTTCTGCATCACTTAAGTCAAGATATATGTCGTTTTTTTCCAATTTTGAATTTCCTACACTGTGTTTCAAATCAGTGCAGCTCACTTAAACATCATTTTTATTTTTACACCATAAAAAGAATCCCTGTGGGTTTTGTACATGCTCCTCTTTATGTTATCTTATATTGCTTGTGTGTGATATAAATACATATGCAATTTTGTGGGATTTAGCATCCTCTGCATCACTACACTGGCGCTTTAGAGAAAGCAGGAGATGATTCTTGGCACTGTCGTCGCCAGTGTAGCCCCCCCACCCCCCATCCACCCTACACACACACACACACACACACACACACACACACACACACACACATACATACACATACATGTAGGGGGGGGGCAGAGCAGAGGAGGGAGATAGAGGAGCAGGAGGGAGATGGGATGAGACAAGCCACACAAGCCGCAAAGGGAACAGGGTGAAGGTAGAGGGAGGGGGTGGGGGGTGCTGTATACCCTAAACCCTGCCGTAGGGCTAGAAACACACACACACACACACACACACACACACTGGTTTGCCACACAACCGCAAAACACACTCAGAACAGTGTAGAACATTGCAGTGGGGAGTCTGAGAATACGCCCTGTATGAAGATATCCTAATTGTTTTATTGATTCTTCCCTTTACTCCTGATGAGTTAACTGAATTTGAAAAAACACAGTTGTCTGCTGATATTTAATTGTATTTTTTTCAGGATCTTTGATTTTAATGCATTTTTACGAGTTTGTATTTCATGAAACAAAAACCTAAATAAAATTTAAAAACTAAATCATAAGACTCTCGTGTGGTTGTATTATTGATTAGAGGCATGCAGCATCCTGACACAGTGTGCATGTCAGTGCACATGCAAGTGTGTGGTCATGTTGGTGTGAGTGTGTGTGTGTGTGTGTGTGTACTTTGATATGGAGCTTTAATAAAACGTGGCATCTGTCAGTTTGATACTGACATGCCAGAAGAGCCTCACAATCACTTGGGAACACAGAAGGAAAGAAATCCAGAAGAAATAAACTATGTACAGTATATGATGTATACACATATGAGTCGTAACCACCACAAAAAATGAAATTAATTTTCATAGATTTTGGATAAAAACCAAAGCAAAAAATAAATTAAAAAAATAAAATAAAATACAAGAATGCATTTTGTCATCCTTGTTTACCTCCACTATTTTTGACATCTGACCAGTTTCTGACATGGTTCTCTTAAACCTATCTCCACATGCTCAGAATGTCAGCAGTCATATTTATTTATATGGTTAAAGGACAAAAATGAAACGAAAAAACTGAACCGCCCAATTATTTAATGTTGCGTTCAAGTTCATTGGCATGTGGCTGTGTGAGGTCAAACAATTTGCTCTCCAACTAACCATGGGCTGCAACAATTTATAACAGTTACCTTTGACCTCAAATGGACTTGTCCTTTAGCCTTGACATTTGACTTTTGACCTCCTCACTCCTGTGAGAGGATGGACAGGTCAAGGGTCAAGGGTGGTTGGGTTCAACAGCATGGCTGCTGAAACAGTGTTAGCATACCAGTATTAGCCTGAAAGACTTCTAAACTCAAATTATCTCACATTAAATATGACATATTTCAGTATCTATACATCAATAATACAACTTTAGACTTCAAATATTTTAAGTTTCATATTGATATTATTAAAGTATGAAAAAAAACATATCTTCAATGACCTTCAAACGATCTACAAACCAGCTACTCGTGTGCCAGAAAAGGCGCCACGTTTGACTTGCTATTTGTGGTAAAGTGTAAAGGTTGAGAAGACATTTGCACAAAGTTATTACCAATTCGAATTCCTGCAAGTCAACTTAGCGATGGTAAATGCTACCTCTGTTTCCATCTTCCACCGTATAACTGTAGCGTTTGCTTTCGCCTCCTTTCTTTTTAGCGGAAACATGCTAATTGCAATTTGCTCAAGAAGAGTTATTCAACATGTAAAGGTTAACTCTTAGTAAACGTACTCACTCCCTTGCCTGTGTGTGTGTGTGTGTGTGTGTGTGTGTGTGTGTGTGTGTGTGTGTGTGTGTGTGTGTCTTTTATTGCTGCAGTCATGGAGAAATGGAGCTGTGGAGAACTGCAGACAGCAGGAAGTAGAGGTCAACACGAGATCTCTGGGATTTTGCTCGCCACTGGACCCACTTGGGGTGAGCTTGGGTTAATAAACCAAAATGTGTGTATGTGTGCGTGCGTCTATAGTATTAGCCTACATGGGCCAAATATGTCGGCATGTGTAATACCATGGCAACATTTAGTGTTTGTGTATTTTCCTGCTATCTGTGTTTGTATGTGACAGAAAAAAAAAATCCAAACTTTGCCTAATTACGCCCAAATTGTATTATTCCGCATTTGTGGGTTTACTATGACCTCTGGTAATTCAAGGACAGAAAAAAAAAAATCAGTGAAGCTCAATCTCAGAATGTTTTGCAAGGCTTTAAATTTCTGTTTAAAGCCTATAGCAACATAATTATCACTCTTTTTTCACATCCACAAATCACCTAGCTCTGAATTATTATTGGACACATGATATTGATATTTATCTGATAAATTTAAATACAACGTATTGAAAATGTTGTCAAAACAGCCAAATTTCTTTGTTGGCAGGAGTTTTGTTTTCCCCGTCTGTGCCTGTCTTTGCTGATGTGTGAGTCTGTGTCCGTGTGTGTCTGTTTGCCTGCAGCAAAGTTAGCCCATGTGTGTGTTGGATAAAGGCATAGATGTTAGTAGTGGTCCAGAGGACACAGTAAACAGAATAACAGTGGTTTGAAGGGAGCTCAGGCGATGTGGGCAATATCAAATCCCATGACCCATTCTTTGCCCTGTGGTCCATACCAAAGGCAAAAAGCACAGGGGAAACAGAGGTTACTGTTCATTGTTCATCATCACAACAACACAACACAACACACAAACCAGCAGTAGCTACAACCAGGAAGTGATTCCAAAAATTTCCTCTAGCCATTGAAATCCGTGCAGTAACAGTAATTGCCCTCAGCCCTGGCATTGTTTGCATTGCGTGCAGGACGACTTGCTCTATTAATTAGACCTCCGGCCATTATTACATGTGACATTTTATGTTGCTGAAGAGAGACAAACATTTTAATGAGCCAAGCTCGCTCTCATGACAGGGAAATATTTATTATATTAGCCAGCTGCAGCAGTTGATTACCGTCTTTGCAACTTTGACCTCATTTTTCTTACAACTAGGTGACCTCTGCAGAAGCTGAGGTGGTGCAAAGGGATGCACCATTAGGTGAACTGCAAAACTAGCTGAAATGATTGACATATGTCACTGTCAGCGAAAATATACAGTAGCACTTGGTGCCTATGCCACGTGTACGCTCCCGATTGTGACACAATACCGCACAGTGGCACTTACAGATATTAAACCAAATGAAAATACCCCTGTGACTCTGCATGTTCTGTGTTGAGAGTTCTCAGAGTTCAAAAGTTTATTTCTTGGCGATGCTAAAAAAAAATAGATAAAAAAAATAAGTGGCTGAAGAGAAGAGGTGGTATGTCAGCGCCCATGGGCCTCAGTGTGCGGTGGTGTTACTCGTCCTAATTACTCCCAATACTCACACACATTTGGTGGACTGCTCAGAAGGGCCAATTAGAAGGGCAGGGCAAGTCACTGGGTAGAAAAAAGTCAGTGCTCAAGTCTGTAGCCATCTCGACTATATACCACAGAGAGATGGAGTCTTATAGCGAACTCTGCAGTACATTTCCACAAATTACCTTTTTGTATAAAATTAATGCTTTTGACAACATAGCACTGCTTTAACTCCAACACTGTTTTTTGTCTGTACTGGATACATACAGTTACTCCAGCATAACCACAGTTTAACATTTAGTGATGCAGCTTCTGTGTGATAGGTGATACTGAGTGTAGCCAGGATCATTGTTGATAGTGTTAATCAGCTTGACCAAAGATGTTAAAGGGCCAAAGTGAAAGCCATTAGCCCTTCGTGAGAGAGGAAGTTGTTACCTGAGACTTCAGAATTGTGTCATAGCATAATAGAGGTGGGTCAACAGCTTTAAATATCGAACACTTTGCTGAACAGCATAAAAAAAAAGAAGCTGACTTTTGGATTCAATTTCAATGGCTTTCACTTGATGAGCCAATACAATACAGTACAGTGAAGGCAACATCTGTGGAGCATCTCTGTAAACATGTTCTATACATATGAAACTGTCATCTTCGATAGACCTCACTTTCTGTGCTAAAAGCCCAGCTCAAAGTGTGTCAGGGTCATTAGACCCTTATATCTGACTGCATTATTTAGTTAGAGAGGTAGGCTTTTTTATGAGTAACATCTAACCCCCCCCATCAGCCATTACCTGTGTGCAGAGTATAGCAGGGTCATAGGTTTGATGCTGAAACAGGAAACCAGGACAGCTTTTCATCTTTGCAGATACAGATTTGATAATATCAGGCAATTTAAAAAAAAAAAAAAAAAAAAAAAAGATATAACAATTTAAATAGTCATGATTGATATTTTTCACAGCTCAGACAATACAAAAATATTTACACTGTAAATTTAGCCTTAGTACCATTTGCAGAATATTAAGATAAGCACCCACGAACACACAGAATGTTTACTATACTGTATCGTTTGTTTACATTGCCTCATTTCCTATGCTATACTCTTAATCATCTATCAGACATGCATATTTGGAGTACAGCTGCTTACTATTAGGGTGCCAGCGGGGGTAAGTATTTATAATGTGGCGCCCGCATTCGTGGATATAAACCCTCCAGTGTTGTAGGCCGGCTTCTGTATCATCAGTGCAAGCCCACAGCGATTAATGAAGTCGTCTGCATGTGTCTGCATGATTAAGGAGTGCTAAAGCGTCAGTGTGTGTGTGTGTGTGTGTGTGTGTGTGTGTGTGTGTATGCGTGTGTGTGTGCATGTGCATGTTGTCTGCAGATAAAACAACAACCCGAGAACAAAAGACGCCAGAATACAGGAAAGCTTTGCAGTAGGTCCATTCACAAACATCAGAATGAACAATTTTTGCACAGTAAAGATAGCAGAGTAAATGCAAAGCTTAATTCTGTATGATGAGGTAATACAGGAGCAAACAATTACAAATGATGACTAAAACCAGGGAGGAAAGTGAGGGAGGAAATAGTACATTTATGTATGAAAATATTGTAAAATATGTCAAAGCTTTTTTTTTTTTCTTTTCAATGATTTAGTTTCCATCTATAATTTTCCTATTTCCTATTTGTCAAGTAATTCCATATTTCATGCTTGGATGCAATCCCTTCCCCGTGCTATATATTGCAGATGCTCATGCCTCTTAGCGATAGCACAATATGTCCCTTCCATGGTTGTTCAAAAATTCCACAAAACTAGAACATACTCATCTTTTTTCCCTCCTCATTCTGATGCACCACGTTATCATTGGTGTACCACGGGATGAGTCTGGTATTTGTGGAAATCTCGTCTTATCAATTTATAATTACAACAGATAAATCTGCAGGTTTTTTTCCTTTTTCATTTAATATCCAAGTAGCTTTCAGCGGGCTGTGTAATAGCGCTGCGTAGGGAGGGTTTCTTCTGCATCATCATACAGTCAGAACAAAGGATATGCACATCGTAAAATCATGCAAATGAATGCAAATCACTTGCAGCAAGGAATAGCGAGGTGGCAGGAGGGGAGTTTGTATAAGCAGAGGGATGCCAAGGACTTTGTATACAACACTTGCTGGACAATCTTCCTTTAAGTTGTGGCAGATAACAAAAAAAATATTGGTTTTGAATCAGATTCTAAATCTCCTCTGCACAATAAAACCAGACTTTGAAGACTTTGCTATTGCTTATAAATACTGGATAGATCTATTTTACCCCCGGTGCCTGAACAATATGTAGCTTTGTATTGTTTCTCTTTGCTGGATATTGTTCAATTTTTTTCCAAAAGGCAACAAAATACATAGTGTTCATGCAAGATGCTGTTCTACAACATAGTGAATGCAAATGGCTGCAAACAGCATTGCAGTAAGTGTGTTGGGATGATGCAATATCTTGGCCGTGGGCTACCGCCTCAGAGAAATGCAGAGCGGATATTAGCAACACCAGCGCTAATGAAAGTCTCCTCTCCTCCTCTCCTCCTCGCCCTCCCAGTAAAAACTTCAACTTTATCAAACATGTGACATTTTCAGGGGTGCGTTCAGTAACTGGGGGGATTAGGTAATGACGAACTAGGTTGGTCTCCGTTTTCCTTTGGCCACGAAAAGAAAAATATTCTCATAATTATTCCCCTGGATATTTGATTTGGTTCTCACCGTGAATATTTAAAACAGCAGGGTTACTTCTACACTTCATCAGGAGAATATCACAGATGCGTCAGCACAGAAAGTGTCAAAACATTCAGTTGTGCACTCAAAAGTTAAAAGCCCATTTGCTTTCATCCTAAATTATATATCATATTTTTTATAATTCATAACACAACACAGCATTGCAGGGTGTTTAATGTGTGTCTGTGTGTGTGGTGTAAAATGTGTGTGTGTGTTTCATCACAAATGAATTCAAATATTTATATTCAATCCTAATTTGCAGATAAGAATTACGTCATGAAATGCAATGAAATCCTAATGCAAAAATGTAATCATTTTTGCAAAGCGTGTTTTTTTTTCTTTCCATGAAATGAATTCCTGCAGCATCACTTCCTTTAACAAAACACTGTTATTTAGACATGGTTTAACAATATCGCATTCAGAGGTTCTTGCAGCTGTACAACAATCAGTAATTTGTTTCAACTTGCATACAAAAAAAAAAAAAAACATATTTAAATAATGCCGCCCTCTTTCAGACACACACACACACACACACACAGACACACACACACACACAGACTAACCTGCAGACACAATATGGCAGGGGAGTAAAAAGGGGGGAGGGCAGACAGACATTCACAATTGTGCATAATGATGTTAACATTCCTGCATGTCTAATGCAGGGGATATTGAGACAGGCACTGGCTGGTCGGTGGTCTTGCTGTGTGTTGTGTGTGTTCACGGGTATAAACTGTAGCAGTGCATAATGATGTATTAATTGTGGCCTGCTCTCGCTCGTGGTGTTTGGGCTCCTTGCCGAGGTTACTACGCGGCCTTTGATGCAATCGTTAATCTTATCAAACATAT